ATCATGAATCGTCTAATAGATTCGATGCAGAAACCGCTGTATTCGATCGACGTTGCGTGTTTCCCCATGAAAAATTCTTACTATTCAGTTCTAATTGCCTGAAGTTCGAAAAATGGTGAATAAAGTCAGTTACTGGAATCGTACATTTAAAGAGATGGGTGGTGCTACACCGCGCATTAGAAGAATGAAAAACCGTATTCCAATGAGGAATATCATTGTTTTGAACTAAACTCTTTTGGCTTGATATTATTTGCCTTGTTGATATAAACCTCACAAAGACGGACTCAGTATTGTTCCCCGCGAAACACACAACAAACTGAAATTCAATGTTGCGTCACTCCGCATTCTTGGAGTTTTATTCACATATCTTTACATCTGAGTTCTTGATGGTATAGCAAAAGATGATCAGAATATTGAAAATTCACTCCCGCCTTCCTTGAGAAACAACCAAAGTTATGTTGGACTTTATTAGAAACCAATTTTTAATCGAAAGAAAAGGATGCATTTGCCGTTATTTGGCTAAATGTATTAAACAAAATTCTATGATTAATGACTTCTACAACGCGGATCGAAATTGTAAAGCATACCGTTTGCGGTGTTGTGGTAGTGCAGACCATGAGTATGAGTATGAGTAAACGTTTGATTATGTCCCCGTTGCATGTAACTCGGATTGTGCGTACTAGTGAGCAATCACACTCAACCCACATTTATCATTCCCATCCAAGTATCTCACTCAGCATCACCGTAACAATCGAAGATAATCAAAAAGTCATGAGTAGACATACAAACAACTGAACGCATGTTTCTATCTGCGCACCGACTGTTTGGATTACCATGTGATCTGAATTGAGTAACGCCGTCGTCGCCTATGTGCAAATAAATGCACGCATAACACGGTGAATGCAAAGCCAAAAACTCACGCGTCAAGTAGAACATTAACAACAACAAAACAACAACAATAACAACGCCCGTTGCCACGGCACACGCACAGACTGTTGGGATAAATTCCTTTTGCAACTGCATTTCGTTTCCAAAACCAAAAAGATCCATTTGTGCTTCACGTCCTGGCACGCACTTGATGATGAATAGCAAACAAAGCGTTTGGAAAAACAACAACAACTGTGAGGCGCTGTCAAGCGTCAACAAATGAGTGAATATTGTTTTTCTGAATGCGACGTACCGCAAAGCACAGTTGTACTGAATAAGATGTGTTCTCAAAGCCTAAATGCATCTACGCGAACGGAACTGCCGAATCGTTAAAGCAACCTTATTGAGTGACATTGATTAAACTGTCATTCCTTGTTAGATGAACTTACGTATATGATTTTCGGTAGGAATATACCACTTTTGCCATTTACTCTGCTTGCTTACGAAAGACGAGATGATGACAAACAGACAGGAGGAAACAGAAGGCCAAGCAGACTGCAAAGATACAAAGAGCCAGCCAGCCAGCCAGCCAGCCAGCCAGCCAGCCAGCCAGCCAGCCAGCCAGCCAGCCAGCCAGCCANGACAGACAGACAGACAGACAGACAGACAGACAGACAGACAGACAGACAGACAGACAGACAGACAGACAGACAGACATACAGGCAGACAGACAGACACAGAGAAAGACAAACAGACAGACAGACTGACAGACTAACTGACTGACTGGCTGATTGACTGAGAGACTGACTGACTGACTGGCATGCTGCCTGACTGACCAACTGAATGACTGACTGCCTGAATAACTGACTGAGGTATCAACCAGACCCACCAGGCAGGTTTGCGTTAAAGTGGGCTTATTACTGATTACGATCTTATCTTACGTTAATCAATGAAAATTAAGTAATATATTGTTTTCATCATTCCATAATTCTTGGAAATGCAATTATCAGAGTTTGGGTGTTGCTGTTCGAATTTGAACCACGCATTTCTTGCGATGTGAATTTCAAAGTTCTATGATAAATGGCCAAGACCTAGCGAGAACAAAACACTACTGGATTCATCACATACGTCTACGAATACACGGTATCAGGTCAGCATGCATACCATTGAACTTTACGTGCGAGCTGCTTATCTGACAAAAAATTGAATAACTCCCTATTTTTTCACCTATGTCTATTCCAGAAGTATTCACCATTCGCTTGGAACCCATGGACATCGAACTTTTCATACATTAATTCTCGGTTATGTGGAAAGAACAAGTCTATTGCAAAAGATTGATCTTCTTTATTAAATTTGATGTATGGGTCTGTTCGAAAAGGAAAGAACAGTTTGGAAAATAATTCACGGATTTTCATCTTATGATGGACAACGCTATATAATTAGTTCACTTTCAGTCACGTTTTTCTATGGCAGCTGAAAATTTAATGAGGGTTTGTAGTTTTATCATAATTGTTATTGATCGTTTGAGAGAATCAATGTTTGTAACTCAGTTAGCTATTCTTGGTGTCACATACTCATACTGTTCACCATTACGCATTGTGCAATGCAGTCGAGTCAACAGATTATGGTTCGATGCTTCAAAAACAAGGACATCCATAAAGATCCTAATTATCTTTATGGAATTTCTCATATCCCATGGGCAATAGGGGGATGTATATCGCAATGCTTCAACCTTATATACATTGTATAACTTTTTAAAAGATGACAGTAGGATAATATGACGATTCGGTTTCATCATGATAACTTTAATAGTGTGTAGTCTGAAAGAGTAAAAGCAGGAGACCCATTGTTTTATTGTTTGTCAGAAAATGCATTAATTTTGGGGCCGTCAGATGTTCTTGATATCACGTTCTGTACGATCAATCTGAGAGTGAAAATGCATTCTACAAACTCAATGATAGCTTCTTTTGGGAGTTAAAGTCAACTCCGTTTTGGATAAAAAACATTTTTTCTGCAACTTTTTTGCCTTTATAATGTATTGTTGCCTTCCATAGCTGATGATGATCAAGTGATTAGGTTGTTTGTCAAAATCAAACACCGTAACCTGTCCTCCACATTGTCGTCTGTTTATGGGTAACCTTTAATTTTTAACCCACCTCTTTTTTTGTAAGAAATCGTTGTACATTTCTTTATCCATTAAATAGAGAACAAATTAAAATTAAAAATCACTACTGAAATCCTTTCAATAGGCCAACCAGTACTGCATACAAGCGATCGCAATATTTTTCTTGTCGGGTAACTTACACGAGCATGTTCAGAGCAACTTTGTTTCAAACTTTTTTTCCAACAACCACGAAACCAGCAACTTTAATAATTAAATGATACATGCGGTTAAAGTGAAAGAACAAATACTGCATTTTTATTGTCCTATCCCCAACTGGTACTTGATAGATTATTGATTATATCCAATCCCATCCATTTTAAGTCAAATTATGCACATTTGCAAATGGGAAAACCCAATTATTCGTAAACAGTTACAGCGATGCAAACATCTCTGACTTTTCTCAGATAACTCCTTCTATTGTATCGTCAAACCTTAATCGGTTTAGTTTTTTGTGATCAGCATTTTTTGACAGAAGGATTAAACACACCGTCATATACGTATGCCTGTATAACGGTATTTTAAATAATGCTGCTTCATTGAATAGTGAACTTTTGTAACCCTCTAGAAAGTAGCTTATAATTATATTTCAAAAGTGGAAGTGATAATGAAAGAAAACGTTAAAATGAGCGAGTGATCTCGTGCATGAAACACCGTCAGATTAGGTCTTAGGAACTTACTTTCATTATCGGCTGCCTCCGAATGCACGATATTGCCCTGTTTCTTATCCCGTATGTGTATGTATATGTGTGTATGTATGTATAGCGCTGAATGGACGCTCGTGATTTTTTGTTATCAATTTTTGTGTGCTACTCAACCACCGCGAACCTCGACACGTACTTCTCACCCATTTGTGTGTTACACACATTAACCGCTATCAATTCAGGAGTATTCATTGTCTTTATGAAAGTCATTGGATGCGGTAAAAAAGAAAACATGGGCACGAAAATATCCTACATATAGATCTGTGTGTGGTAGTTTGTTCCAGCTGAGCGTGATGGACTGTATTAGCGGTATTTCTCAATAGTTATAGTTTTAACGTATTGTGGAGTCCGTATTGGTTATTGAAAGATACAGGTTTTCTTTGGGGCACAAGGACCGCGAGCGTAACTTACAGATACAAACCTAATCAATTTTGTGCTTGTTCTTCTCAAAACCTAATTAACCGACGATTTGAAGAACAACAGAGTTCAGTTAGTTTCATGAAAATACCGATTTTATATTCAACGCTTTGTGTTTTTTTCAGGAAAAGCATACGTCTTTACCATCTGTATTCAAAGTAACACAAAATAGGATTCTGAATCCACAGAAGTACTAATGTCATTTGAAAATGTCCGGTTGTGACTGTTAATGTAAGCTTGGGTATAACCACAAATTTAGTGTGGCAGATATACATTAGCTTTTCAGTTGAGAAATTTCAAACCACCTGTAATAATACTTCACGCTATTCAGTGATTTCCTGAGGCCTTCCTGTTTGAAGAGTTACCTATAATTTACTTGAAGCATTTATTCCTCGCAGGAACTATTTAAGCACAGGCTAAAAAGCGTAAACTACAGTTGTTGTTGAATGATGCAGTTGCATCCTTTACAAAATACTGATTAAGGATCTTGGCAAAGCTCATTGGTATTCATTCATAATACTTATTTGAAAGTATTCCCTCACACACACCGGGGAATATCAGTTAAGTGCAAAAATATTTATTTATTTTATTGATCTGTCACTCATTGAGAAAATTTGCTCATATCTTGAAGGAAATTTCTACTACTTCATAGACTATTTAACATGTATTGTGACTAACTTGTGAAATATTACTTAGGTGTGATTTGCTCTACAGACTCGAAACTCGGGCAATCCATCTTCCAACAGTTTTGTTCTGTTTAGCATTATCGTGTGACGTACTCACATTCTCGACTCATTTGCCGATAAAGCAGATCCATTCCAAAAGTAAACTATCTAATATTCCTTACTCACCTGGTGGCACGGTCTCCTGAAGCGTCGGACTGTCATCAATATGGATACTCCCTTCCATTTCATTTTCTTTAGATTTCGGTACATCCTTCGTTTCTATTGTTGGCGGGGGTGGCACGGCTCCAGACATGGCTGTATTTGTGACCTGAATGGAATCCGTCGATACCGTCACTTCTTCGTTTTGGTTTGTATCACCCATGACCCAATCGATGATTTTACACGACGAGGGTCACAGCGTAGAATCGGATGCAGAGTTCACGTCACTCAAATCACGACGAATGTGAATGTTGTTGATCCCAATCGCTGGGCGAATAAGAATCGCGTCTTGGCAGTACTCTGTCTTCACCGCCACGATATTTCAAATAGAAGTAGCAAAGCTGGTGACTGAAACAGTAGTATAGTGCACACCCTCGACTATATCTCCACAATAGCGGGCCGTAGTGCTTGCTGGTGGATGAAATGTAAATAAAAGGCTGATTGTGCCATGTCACCTGACTCGATCGACCTATCGGACTTTACGGGGCTGTCTTGTGCTCGTGTGTACACCCAGGACTGTGTGGATTATTGAGGTTTTCTTGTTGACAAATGTATCTGATTGCGAATGTGCTTTACGTGAATGAGTGAGTGAGTGAGTGAGCGTGCGCTTGTCTGACAAATCGCACTGAGTTGTGCAATCCGCGTAGCGGTACAATCTTGTGTGTGTGTGAGAGAGAAGCGGCTCCTTAGACGAGCTAAGTTATGCGAGCACACACACACATACACACCTGCACAAAACACAGTCTGCATCTGTTTATGTGCATGAGTGTGCATAGGCACACATGCGTGCATGATACTCGCTCGATACGGACTGAGTTATAGGCAGGTTGCGTACACCTTGTCGAGTATCATCAGGTCAGTTATACTCGGAATACTGAGTCCCGACCTACTCGTTCCCTGATTCCGGGATAAACCGTGGTTTATGATCAACCCAATGCCACTTGAACTTGACTTTATTTACCTTTTGTTTTGTGACAAAGCGAGAATCACTCGCCTGATCCAGCATACAGGGATACAAGTAGCTAGAATTTTTAACTCATTCGCATCATGGACTAGGGCCAGTTTGTTTCACGCCGACTATGAACCATACTGATAGGCCATAAAATAAAACGGAAATTTACCCGTTGTATTATCAAAGATTTCATCGCACACAAAACAGGGGAAGCTAAGAAGCATGGTGTACCTGTTTTTCACTTAGGTATAACTCAGTTCGCAATGTTTCCAACTAAGTATTAGCCAAAGCGGTGAGTGTTGAGATGAGCGACGACTAATGCTCACGATAAAGCTGGCTAGGATTGGTTGCACTACTCCGTGTGCAGAAAAATGTGTGATCGCTAGTCAGTGCTCAGGTGGGTTAAGTGAGTGATGTCCCCGGTTCAATCCGAAGTTGGGTTGATAAATTCAAATTACAGACGAGACTAAACCAAATCGAAAACAAAATGTACTGCGCAGTCCACCCTTTCCGTTCTTGTTGTTTTTACTCTACACGCGACGGAATTTACCATTCAAATGAATCAAATCTCCAACGAAGAGCGTTGAATAACATTTGTATCCTCTTGGGGACTCGGCAAAAGTACTTCTGAATTTATTTGTGAATGATACATGATCAAATTAGTGTTTAAGGCACAAACATTTTTCTAGATTCGTCTACGGGCGTTTCTAAAACATAGCAATGCGTATGGCAGTATTATTAGTGATCTGCACTATTTTCTGTTTCGCCCCCTCCCTCCAGATGATACAGAAGCTGTGCAGCTGATACCAACAAAAATGCTGAAAAACCGGCATTCATGCATTGCGACAAAATCAGATTCTTTTGCACGGAAGGCCCCGTGTTGGAAATACGGAGGAGGTTGGAACGCGGAATACAGTTCCACGAAACGGGCACAATAGATACTCCGTGCGAATGAGCTTCCTAATCAATTTAACAAATGGGTTCTCCGTATGCAAGTGCTGCAACAGCCAATGCGCTAAGTGACATCCGAGTATATCCTTGTCACGTTGGACCCATCCCACGCGGGAATCAATGCGCATGGCGCGCATGTGCATACCTAATTGGTGTGTGTGTGCGCGCGCGCGGTGCGGTGCGGTGCACAAAACAGTGCAGAATCGCATATACATATTTGCATCTTGCAAGATGCCAAATGTTGATTTCATTTCTCACCCGTTTTAGAGAGGCATATCAACAATTAGGCAAGCAGGTGCACAAACAACAGAAACGTTTTAAAATGTGAAGTCTGTTTTGCTGACGAAAACCAGGCGTGACGGAAATTGACATCGACAGACCAAATGGTTCGTAGTTCACCGACTGTTTACGGTTTGGTTAATATCTCAGAATGAAAAGTTTGGTTCACAGGCTGTCATTTCCCACTAGAATTCTTCTCACACATATTTCACTTATTTTGCACCCGAATTTTACCTTCAGTTTGCCAAGAAAGCAAGCAAACAACGAGAGGGTGTTGATCGAATAAGGAAACTATGAAACATTTTTCAGGGCATGAATAAGCGACGTAAGAGTAAATATGTGGATGAACGTATACTGAAAATGACAGTCAGTTTGGATCCATTCACACAAGATGATGACCGTCGACCGTGTAGCCCAGGGGTAAGGGTTTGAAGTCCCGACCCTACCGGTCGCGGTTCGAGTCCTGTCTAGGGCTCCAAACATAAGCAACGCAGGACGAAACAGCTGTCCAGTGCTCTTCGTCGGTTGTCACAAACACTTTTATCGCACTTGGATAATCAGTTTGACCTGGAGTACAACCATTTGTTTATAAAACATGTCTTCAACATCCCTGGCAATGGTTCTGTTAAGAAGTGTCATTTTCTTTGGTTTCAAAAAAAAATAATTTCGGCAAAAACTATTGATTTGTTTGGAAGATGCAGGCCCGACATTACTCAATCGTATGTATGTTTAGTTCGACAAAATAATTGTATGAAATCATTGCGGAAGCCCTGAATTACGAAGACGGCCAAATGATCATTGACACATTTTAGAAGTACTGCATTGACGATTGCTCGGGTCGATATCAATGAGAAAAAATTGCTTTTCCATCCTCGGGTAGCTGTGAAACAACGACACCATCAGGCTTCGGTTGTATACACTGAACCGAAGACGCTCGATCATCATTAACCATACAGTTGAAAACAGTATAATTGAGGTTGATGACTGAACAAAGAAGCAACCCTACAGAACCCTGTATTGGGAACGACCGAAACCAATTGAATGAAAACAAGACCGAATAGATCCCTGATTCACCGTCCGATAGAGAATTGGATACAACGGATTTATTCTGCTCAAATTTGTATTCAAGTAACAGCCCGCCGAAAATGCACCTTATAATTTCACAAACCCTGTCATTGTATTCCCCGGATTGTTTGTCAAACGTATGTCTTTTATCAATGTCATATTGGGCGGGTCACTCGTTGACTTAGCCACCAGCATGCACTGAATTAAAAGAAGTCAACCCTAAGTATCCATGTACTTTGACAGAAAAGTACGATCAACAATGAAGTATGCTCATTCATGCATACAGAATACCACACTTTATCTGTTGTTTTAAATATGACGAATTTGTTGTTAGTATTCACTAGTTATCAGTGAGTGGGCTTGTTGGATTCCGTTTTGCAAAAAGGATTTTTGTTGACTGCGGACCAACGATCAAAAGAAAATAATTTATCCGGTGCTTTTAGTGATCAATGCCGGAGAATGTTGTTGACAAGAGCTATCAGGTTTTTCGACAGTACATATCAGTTAATTTTTTTCGTTAAACGTGCTTGTCAAGGGAATAAATGACCAAATTAAGCACACATAATTCCGGTAGACATTACTGTTCCCTCCAAATCCCATTTGAACATCAAAATAATAATATGTATTTACTCTACATATTTGTAATTATTATTTCGCTGCATTGATACATGTGCTCATATCGGTAATATGATATATATATATATTTATATACTACTTAGATCGCAGTATACAAGATATAAATTATTACCCATATCTAAAGCATTAATACAGATGATAAATACAATGAAACTCCGTTTGATCATAGAGAAATTTCAGTGCATCACAATCGACCAGTACTGTATATATAATTTTCAAGAGCGAATTCAACATGTATAGAGCAAACGAAGTGTAAACTAAAAGGCTAGGAAGCACTGTACAGATGTTCCACCTATTTGGTTCTCATCAGTAGCAAACATCCTCTGATCAAACAGGGGATCGAACCTGGGACCTCAAAGGCAGAATCCAAGCATGCTACATACTCGGTCACTGGGCAGCTGGTCAAACCGTTAGTCACTTGGAATATACACTATATAGCGTAACCCATGTTCGCGAGCTTGTTTTGGCCAACGGACCTCGCTCATCTCAGTAATAACTTAGTGCTAAGATGCTAGTGCTGAGATGAGCGAGGTTCGTTGCCCGCAACAGGGTCGCAAAGATATGGTTGTGCTATATCGTGTAAAGGGAAAATGACAAAACGGTCTGATCAGCCTCCCGGCGGCAGAGTAGGTAGCATGCTTGCGTTCTACCTATGAGGTCTAGGGAACGATCCACAATTGGGTCGATGGATTTTAATTATTGATGAAACGCAACCAGATCGAAATAGCTGCCCAGTTCTTCCTAGCATCTCAGTTCACGCTTGTGAATAAAGCGTGAATTGAATTTGCTCTTCGAAGTTGAATCAAATTATCCATCACTCTCAGGCAATATATATGCTATGTCCTGTCTGAGGATTCCAACTGTGAACCTATCTCACGGATGAAAGTATGGTGCCATTAGGCCAACTAAGCCACACTCGGGCTCCACAGACTCATCACTTCAATTTGGCTCACGTGTTGTCTCGAACACTGTTTAGTCAGTTATTTTGTTCGGACACCTGGGAAGGCGGGATATCTCCAATCGAAAGTCACCAACTGAACAAATGTCATCGGGCAGACCGAAATATATCTCAAGTTGTGTTACAAAACATCTTTGTGAACGGGTACACTGCAATGTTCCGAGATGCATGTTTGCAGTTCCGTGTATCGGCATCGACGTATACTTGCTCAGAGAAACATCAACCATCCACCATTTTCATGGATGACTTGGGGTGAAGTCAAACGAATTGCTGACCTCAACAAACAACGCTGTCACTGTCAATCTACTCATCCCGTCTTCGG